GAGAGACTTCTAAGCTCATTAGCAACTTAATTACAATGTCCGGGGGGGTCAGGGCCACAGATGGTCGATTTCAAACATTTTGTTTTGAATCACTTAGCTTCAGTTTTGTGGTTGTTAAGTGCCATCCAGTCGGTTCTGATTCATAGCGGCCCTGTGTAGGGTTTCCAAGGAAAGGCTAGTGAGTTTGAACTGCCAACCTTGCAATTCAAACCAACCTTGAGACCTGGCACCACACCAGGACTCCTAGCTTCAGTTTTGGTGGTGGGTTGTTTTTAAGTGCTGTCGAGTCGGTTCTGACCCACAACAACCCTGTATAGGGTTTCCGAGGAGCAGCTGGTGAGCTTGAACCACCAACCTTGCAGTTCAAACAACTTTGCAGTCTAGCGCATTAACCCACAGCGCCACACCAGGACTCCTGGAGGTGGGTTGGAGGGTACTATTTTCTAGCGTGCCCCAAATTCTGGAATGTAGAATTTGGGGACTTTTTTTTGGACAACGAATAACAGATTGACAATAAAACTCTTGGACACCCCCACCTAAAAATACATATTCACAAATGTCTTTTTAAACTTTCGTCTGTGGTTTTTATAATCTATCCCTGCATTTGAAATGGAGAAAGCAGGCACTGTTTCTGAAAAATTCCAGTCAGAAGATTTGGGTTCAAAACCAGTTGGTTGGCTCTGCTGTTGGCCAATTCTTTGATCTTTGGCAGTCACCTCGCCCTCAAGACTTGCCTCTGTGAGAACTGAATGAACGTTTGTATTGGAAAGCTGTCCATGCAAAATTCACTGTTGTTGTTATTAGTATAGTAGTATTGGAACAGTCATTAAAGGTCACTGACAATGTTTGTTTTATGACAAGTTCTAAGAAAACAAATAGGTCCTTGTTAACTGGGGGGAAGAGGCAAAGCCAAAGTAGACCTCTTCTGGAAGTCAGTTACTGAGAAGGAAATACAGTCTATTTGTATTTGAACTAAAAAGAGCAATGCAGAACTGTATATAATAATAATAATTGTTGTTAATTGTGGGTTCAGATTCACAGCGACCCTGTACTGGATTTCCAATAAATAGCTGGTGGGTTTGAACCACCAACCTTGTGGTTAGCTGTCCAATGCTTATCCTATAACACCACACCAAGACCCCAGTAAAAATAGTAGTTTCCAAAACCAAATCATTGCCATGAAGTAAGTGGTTTCTGATCTCATGGAGGTCCCATGGGGTCAGAGTAGAACTGTGAACCATGGAATTTTAGTGGCCGATTTTCCCAAAGGTGTCTCTGGGGGGATTGGAACCTCAACCATTCTGTTAGTAACAGAATACTCAATTGCTTGCACTACCCAGGGACAATAATTGCTGTTGTTGTTAAGGACTGTCGAGTTGGTTCCAAGGAGCAGCTGCTGGTGAGTTTGAACCACCCACCTTGTGGTTCAAATCGACCTTGTGCTTTATCCCACAGTGCCACACGTGCCACACCAGGACTCCTGAGACTAATTGTTACTAAGTGAGGCTATAGATCTTTATGGGAACTCCCGCAAAGCGGCTGGTAGTTTTGAACTGCTAACCTTAAGGTTTGCAGCCCGATTCCTAACCACTACGCTACCAGAGCTCCTGAGACTAACAGTAGTTGTAAATGCCTAAGGATTCCTGAGCACTTGTTGTTGTTGTTGTCAGGT